TTGGTGGTGGTGGTGAAGCAACGATAATTGTTGCATATTTCTAATTTTCTACCTAATGTCATGGTCTAATTTAAAATGGGTTGCAGCATTAAAAAAAATTTATGAGCAGAATAATTATAAGCTAAGTTTTGTCCGTCCATAGGTCCAATTCTTAAGACTGTTGTTATTTAAGAAAATGCATTTAATTTTTTACTTTCATCCTGCAGTGTACGTTTGAGGCCATCATCATTGCTGGGGTAAACTATGGTTTCAAGGACAAAATATTTTATTCCTACTACCAATAAACATGAAACATAAAAACATGGGAGAGTGCAAAATGGCTTAATTGTGATAAAGCCTTGCATCCAACTTAGCAAGAACCTCCTGTTTTGATTGGGGCATCTCTGTCTTGGTATAATGATGGCTGGCGTATCATGTGTTGAATTAATAGTAGGCTCATGTCTCAAGTCTCATTCATATTTCAGTCACTAAACTCTACAATGATCATCCATCTTAACCCTTTCCTAATACGTGTGAGCCTTATTGAGAACATTGCATGACTACCAATATAAATCAGATAAACACTGATTTTAAAAACCAGGGAAAAATACATATGCTTGGAAAGTGTGACTTCGTAATTATTACCCAATTGATAATTAAAAACAAAGCAAGTTTGTTGCTGTTGCAAGACAGCTATGATGGCACTCGGGGCAATGAACAAAGCTCTTTCAAATGGAAGTCAGTCATAGGTCAAGGCTGAGACTGTAACATTGCCACAAGGGAGGTATGATCCAATTTTACAAGGTACCAGAAATATGAGACCAAAATGTAGACTTAAACTTATGACTTGTGACCTATTTCCCCTAAGACAATTATTGGCATGTGACTGTTAACCTTTGCAAGTGGGAAATATCAAAACTATTTTTCCAACCACACCTCTGATACTTCAACCTGATCTTACAGTTTTGCCCTGCAAAAAGAGCTAGTAACTGTTGTCCAAGGCACTCACTTTCTGATTTATATAAAAAGGGTCCAAGTCCTCCAATGGTTCAGCAATGCATTTAGGAGGGGGTTCGCCATAGATAAATGGCAAACTTCTGCCTGCTTCAAGGTCGCTGTTTGGTTTAAGCTTATTTTGATCATCATCATCTCGGTGGCTGCTGTCTTGCTTGGGGGGCTTTTTTTTCTTCTCCTCAGCAATCCGCTGCTCAATGATAGCCAAAGACTCACGGGTGAAAAGGCGGAAACTATCAGGGCCTGGCGGTGCAAGCATGTGCGCTGCCATCTTTTCATCCTGCAACAATGTCTTCAATTATGTAGCCTCCAGGATGGGACAGTTCTGTCTAAATAAAAAGAAAATCAAAGAAACTTTAAAAATAAAATTACAGGTCATCAACTAAAGAGAATCGAAATTTAGCACTAAGACTAACCATTACGTACATTCTTCAACTAACGGAAGCAAAAAATTTATAATGCACCTTATTAAGCTTTTCAGAAATGCCCCAAAGTACTCAAATACAGTGACACTGAAATGTGAGCAAAAGGTGAAGTGTTAAAATATTCAAAAATGCATTTTAAACTTGACCAATGGCTTTTCCCTATAGTTGCATAATGTGGCAAAACACGTACAATGGCACAGGGAAAGGTTCCAACACAAAAGCAATATAAGATGTGCGGGAATCCAGTAATGTCCTAATTACGATTATTGCCGTGAAACTCTAAATTCAAAGAGTCATCACTTTAATACATTAATATGCACTGAAAACACTGCAAAATAATTTTATTCTTTACAAGTTCACACAAAATCATCTTACTCTTAAAGGTTTCCCCCTTGCCATCTAAAAATCTGCACATTAACTTTTCCTTACCTCTCCAGACATTGTGTTAAATATTCAGATTACAATCTTTGAGCACAGTTCATTTACAAACAAAATTCAGCCACAATTTAAATTTTAGAGTCCCACTTCAAAAGAGCAAGTTCTTTCTTGAGCGGGTTACATGATCTCAATGAGTTTGTTTCAGGCTGGGTCCAGTTCAACGTGAGTATGCACACAGGACAGAATATTGCCAGAATAGTGGTGGTCTTGTTTTGAGAAAGGTGAATGATTGTAAAACTTTAAGTGTTCAATGATCTTGTACAATCTTGTACACTCTCCAACTACTGCAGTGTGGAAGGGAAGGGTTGTTTCCTACATTACATGACAGCTCAAACTGGGATATACGCACATCATCAATTTAAATCTTTCATCAGAGGCTGGAGCATGTCAGACCTTTTCCACATTTAGTTTCCCTTCCTAAATACACTATTTTTATTGCAGTTTCAGTTGTGACATGACATATTGAAGAGAAAAATGCAATTTAGATCTGGATTGTCAGTCTGAATCCGGCAAACAGTTACCCTACAATGGTGACACAAAACTCATTTACTGATTTGCTTATTTGCTGATTTGACTCCTCATGATGTTAAAACAAGACGCAATGTGTAATTTTACCAAAAAGACAAACCAATTAAACAATTACGGTACGTATGATCAGATTACATCCTGTCTCATAGTGAAACTGAAATTCAAAGTTTGCACTGCTGTTTGTAAAATCCATATTCCATCTTAGACCCGAGGCCAAGGTAAGTAACACTTGCTCAAAAAACTAGTACACACTTGAGACCACTATATTTTCACCCATCCTAATTCAGCTTTTACGAAGTCAAGAGACTTGATGAATGAATGGTACCTTAACGCACACCATTACTCTGTACAAAAAAGCATCAGATTTATCATTATTACGACACATGTCCACATCAAACGCTCTGGTCTCCGTGCTCCCCCAGAATATAATACGGCCGGCCTGCCTTCAAGTCCGCTTGTTCGCCTCAATGCCAATAACTGGAGCCATTTCGGCTGAAAGCAGCCAGAATACAGTCGCAAGCTTTTTGATTGTTGTTAACCATTGAACCTACCTTCTGGGTTTTGTTTTTTTTTCTGATCTTAATTCATGTTAAGACACTGGACATTTCTTTGCAAATCCTTTGCAGATCAATGGAGCATTGATTCCGGGTTATTTCTTTATCCAATGCCTATTTCAGCTACATCAGCAGGAAGGCGATCAATAATGAATGGGAATCACGTGTCCAGCATAGAGGCTGCAAGCTGAAATTTAAAATGCAGTTTTTAATCGCTCAAATGATAAAATATTAACGTTAAAGAAAAACACAGCAGGGGGAGCTGATAAACCAACGCCAGGTATCATAAATATAACCGTGTTAATTGCGTTGAAGTGCAATTGCAAGGGTAAGAGGACACAATTGTTCTCAATCAAAATAAGCATAGAATGCTTGCTACAGTACACCTCATTAACAACCGTCACTGGTTCTCGCTGTAACTAGCAACGCCGCTCCCTGTGCCACATCTGATTTTTTTTTTAGCTGTGCAGGTTGAATTTTAATGGCAAAATGTGGTTGCAGCGGGCTTGTTTATACAAGCAGATCGGTCTAGGAGATGCACAATATAAATACAGTGCAAAAACCACACCCAAGTCAAAGCATGCAAGTAGCCCACTGATACAGGTGGACGGAGGAGTGGGGGACGATCTTGATGTCCCAAATTGCTCCCCAAGTGTAGACCCCCTCCTCTCGGCCAATGATTCGTTTGAAATAAAATCATGCAAAACATGTCAGAAATTTGCTTGAGCTACCAAGAGCTTATCGATCTGAAGGTCGGGGTGGCATTTACGGCATTGCCAACGAGCCCCATGTGAAATGGATACTGGAACCGGGCAAGGAAAGGGGGCTAGTAATTCGAGACCGTTGATTGGGAGTGGGCCTGCCAGATCAAGAAGCATGGAAGTGTTCTTGTTAGAAGTGTCGCCGTAGTATTTTTTTTCGGGCGGGAGTGGGGAGTGGGTGCAAAAGAAAATGAGAATCGGGCCAAAACTTAGCAGCTGGTGCTGTCAATTCAGCACCGCAACTATGTCTGTAAGCTCAGAGGGGATTTCAGGGGCTAAGTGAGAAACACACACAGATTGGATAATAATATGCAAAAAAATTGCAATATGTGCATATACAATACATTAATCAAAAACAAACTGGGGGGGGGGGAGAAGCCATACACACAAATTACCCTCAAAACAGCGGAGGAAATGGGATAGCTCAAGTCTTCCACTGTTCGGCACGAATGCAAGGCTTTGATTTAACTTTTTATCCACTGATCCAGGAATGCATTTTTTTCCAAAACATAAGAAGTCAATAACTCATCACCAATTCTTGAAAGCATTAAATATTTTTGTTATAAATTGGAAACTAAATTATGCAAAAATCTGTGTGACGTTTTGTTTATTATCT